AGTATATCAAGATCAAAAGCAGACGAAACTCCATTATTTCCGATTCATTCGAAATAAACTTTCGCCCACACGAGATCCATTCGGTTTCGTCTAATGATACATGTGTCTCAATCCAACGAAATGTTACCAGAGTCCATTCCTTTTCTTTTTACTTCTTTTTACTTTCAATTCATGTGTTTAATAGTACCTTCCACTTATTTACCTAACAGTAACAAATTACGTACAGAAAAAGAAATAATAAAGAAACAAGAATGTACAAAATGGGAAAAGTTGAACTTTAATTACGGAATAAAAATACTACTACATTAAAACAGTAAGTATAATGTAAAATTTAACATGAACGTAATAATATTCCAAAAATTAAACCATAACAACTCCAGAAAACATAAGGACCAGTTATAAATATTAAAATAATTAAATACGATAATAGTCTGTATCTGTCTAATTATAATTAAATTGTATCAATAAGAAAATAAATAATCTATTCCTGTTTTTTTTATCCATTCTAAATGATTGACGGATTGGATATGACGCGATTATCTACTGTACTACCCTAGTCTTATTGTATATTTATTATATATCCAAATGTAATGTTATATATTTTGCTAATGCAGATTAGGTTTTCTAATGTTGACTATTTGCACTGCATATAATAAAATTACAATTTGTCGCTTCAGTAATATTTAATGCAACAAAATCTCACGTACAAATCTGTTGCAACAGACTTAATACGTCCTAGTATGACACATTCGCAGACACGTGCATTCGTAATACATTTGTGATTGCAACGTTGCTAAATTTGATACGAGCTGCACGTGTAATTATACTTTAGCCTATCAAGGGGCGTTCTAACAATTGTGTACTCGATTGATTACTTCAACGTATGCACTTTCAACGTCCCTTAATGAACTAACTTACCCTATATCTAGCAGAACCCTGTAGCTTGGTTTATGCGAAGGCGAATCAGCTGAGACTCCGAATCACGTTTTAAGGTCGCAAGTTAGATTCACACGCCCGGTTTCTTAAACACTGATCATCGTAGAAGTTAACTAATCAGCTGTCACAGCACAAACTCTTTGAATTAATCAGAACGATCTTCTTAATGATCGGAATGATCAATTCAAATTGTTTAACCATCCTTTTGGCAACTCAAACGACATTTGAAGAGCCATTTGACAGTTGATTACTTAACTGTCTGAACTGAGTGTTTCAGAAAAAGGGCGTTAATTTCTTCTACCAACATGTAATTTTCTACTTGTCAGTTGCTATCGGTTACAATAATTGATTTAAAGAGACCCGTGGAATGTTAAAGCTACACAATTCTCTCTAATACATAACAGTTAAAATTAAACAGTTGGTTTCGTTTTGACTATTCAAAACTTATTACAGTGAACAACTTTCATCGTCTATGAACAGAGGTGGTTTTTACCCGGCAGTTGACTGTCTACAAATTGCAAGATGCTATACTTCAAGTTACGACCGAGAGAATTAGATAGCTTGTTAAGTCAAGTCATACATTTGGTTTCAAATTCACGAATTTTCCTCGTGCTGTCGATGCGGATTCGAGCAAAATTAAAGTTAAGAAACGACGTGAAAATATAACGGCACTATTCTTATCCGGGGTACCGAGCCGTGGCAATTACTACGACGCGTTATCATAAGACTATCGCTTATGCAAACAAGGAATATGCATATCTACATACAATCGGTCGAGCGGATAAACATCTTGACTTTGCCGCTCCTTTATATTTAGCCGCAGAATATTCATTGACTGAAACAAAGCAGTGGCATTCTCTTTACATACACAAAAGCGGTGACACCTTGTAAATGTACTGCAATCATCAAACCTTTAATTCAGTGAAATTAACCTGTCGATTCGGTCGACACACAGAATAAAATCCATTTTCCTGCACCCAGTATATTTTCCATTTCCACTATTTAAAGGGCTTTCCCGAATGGCGGGCCTTTGTCATTGAGACATAAGACAAATAACCGTCGCTCGTGTAAATGCACAATAACGGTGGTAACAGTTTTCTGAACATGTAATACAAAATGTAATATCTCCACTTGACCACGGTCAACGTAAGCACAAAATCCCCGCACCGGAACTAATGAAATTGTTTATTGCAACTTTGAGTACTGATTTATGAAGGATGAAATTGTGAGATAACCTGCACATATTCGAAATAACAACTGAAGGAAATATTTGGAAGATATGTAAAGTCTACGCCCTAATACCCTCTGTACACGGGAGGCTTTTGCCTAGCAGTGAGACTTGTATATGTATGGCTTAAGCAACATATATTTTAAGTCATCTTCTGCACCTGGAAAAGTCCCTTATCGTCACGACAATAAAGCCTTATCTTACAACAAAGCTAACATAGAAGTCGCTCACCTATACGAAGATCACTAATGACGCACAGTGGCTGATGAGCTACACCAAAGGTCCGTGTTCTTTGCACCCAAAAACTCTTGTTTCAACTAAGGAAATATTAAAAGAGTTTTCTGTGCTTATAAACAAAAGCATAGGTTAAAAAATTATGATGTTTAACAAAAAAAGACCGAGTTCAAACCGGAAACTAAAAACATTGTTAATACCTATAACATTTGAGGATTGCCCTCGACTTCTGTGGGATGCCATCATCAGATCAAGGTTTCCTTCGTATTGTCACGTTTTATCTTCGTTTCTCTAAACCTAATCGATCTCTAAATGCAAAACCTGTCGTCGTAAAGCCGAATTGTAAGACTTTAGATTTCTTTCTTTTCTTTTTTTAGAACATTGCACTTACTTTAGGATAACATTATCCTGTGTGGTAAGAATATTTCATAAAAATAAATTTCCCATGGACCCAGATGCGAAAAAACTATCTGTGGTTCACACAAACAGTTGTCCCGTATGGGAATCGAGCACACGACCCTCGACGCCGAAGCCAACACCTTGGCAACTGCGCCACGGAGTCGAAGATCACTTATCGGATGTCACTTTGCGATGTTGGCATCCGTTGGTGAAATGTCTAACATCGGATGTCACCGACATCGACATCCGAATTGGTAACAAACATTACCGACTGCCGATCGTATTTCGTTGATCATCGACGATCTTGGTTCGTGATAACATCGTTGTCGAAAACAACGATGCTGACATCGGATGTTGTCTGGGAAACAACGATGTGCATCGATTTCAAAAATTACCGCCAAAGCCCAAGCCCACTTATAAGATTGAACTCAACACCCGGGATCAGTCAAAAAGGTCAACTCCGCTACCTCTAGCCCACCACTGAACGACTGATGAGATGATTCACAGCATTCTAATTTTGGCCACTTATCATGACGTGTCTTCCGCCGGGTCAATGATAAAATATTCGCGAATCAACGAAACAAAAAAGCCAAACAATGGACTAAGTTACTCGATTGAGAAGAGAACGATATTTCATGTGTCTGAAAAGACCTATTAATATTTAAACTCAGAATTAATGATTTTAGCGCTACGTTAATTGGTCTCAAGTTCTATAATGAAGCGAAGGTCTACTCACAGATTATACAGTCTAAAGGCCATTAAGTCTCAATGAGTAAAAAAATAGTGCGCAAAATCTTTACACGCGGTGGAATTAAAATAATTTAATTTATTATTAATTTATTTTATATTAATATATTTTTTATTTCTAATGTATAACTAGTTCAGATACGCCATACAGCGTAGATATTTAAAAATCGGATGCCTGCTATTCGCGTCATCGCCGTAAAGAGTTTCCGTTGTACTGTCGTGGAGTCTTAGTCCAAACTATTCAGTTCCACCTTAGTTATGTATGGAACTTTCACTTCAAAAACAATAATAAACTATAAAGAAAAAGTGAAATGTAAAGTTCGCGGCCGAAGCCCGCTTCCGGGATACGGCGGGGGCGATAAGCCCGCGGCCCAGATACACCGGGCGATGTTTTTTCCATCGGGTAAGGATGGATGGACCGTTAACCGTTCGCGAAAGCGGTTTCGTGTCCAACTGTTGTTTTGTAACGTTATTGGAGATTTTAGCGGTGCCGCATTAATGCATGTCGAAGTTGTTTTCCTTGTGTTGAGTAAGTTTCGTGCATGTTTCATCATCATATAAGTCATAAATCTTTTCGATTCTAAAAAAAGTTTCAGTATTTTTAAAAAGTAACCACAGAGAAACCCACAGAACACCCGACATAACGATTATTTAATTATTTTGTTAAAACAACGTTTTTAATTCGTCATTTCATCAAAAACAAAGACCTCGCCACTTTCAATAGGTATTATGTTGGGTTGCATTCTGATTAGCGATGCAAAGCACGCGACACTTCGCCTTTATTCATTGCATAAGTTAATATTACTTTAGTATACCAATCCATTTTCAGATTCGTAAATAATAAAATTGGTCGAACAGCTTTTTGTTCGTTTTCGTGTTTAGGATGAACGAACGTAGTAGGCGGGTATAGCGACTGAAATGCAGTTTTACTAAAGCATCGTCAAGAGCATTGTTTTTATTTCAAAGGGACGGCGTATGCGCAAACTAACCTGACGATATGCCAAGACTTACAACACGGGAGTTCAGCTCTCGTGTTACGCTACTCAGTGGAACGCTAAAGTATAAACACTTAAACTCAACGCCAAAACACAATAGTTCGCCCTCGCCTCCGAGCACGGCGAGACCAACACAACGCGTACACAAGGTACACCCGCGTTCCGGGGGTGGTTCTCACCGCCCCCAGCCACCGATTAGCTAAAAACACAGTCGTCGGTCATCGGGGTCCCGGTCCGAACCATAATCACGATGGCATTTAGATGACATACCATAGTTAAACGCACGCATGAGCACATGCGCGTCCCAACCCACAGCGGAGGGCCCAAACCCGTGGGCTCTGGCTAGCCTACCGTTTCTGCGTCAGATGAAGCTTTAATAGTCTCGAGACTGAAAGCGAAAACATCAGTTAATACAAGATACAAGAACTCAACGCCCCCTGTAGGGGTGGACTGTTGCTCTACGACGGTGGATCGCGCCTAAATCGTATTAGTGATGTGCGTGAGAAGCGGCTTCGCATCTCGCGTTGCCATGCCTTGGGGGGCTCGTGCGAAACGTCCTCGTCCACAGCGGACGCCGTCTCCGCCGCGCGCGTTTCACGGAACAGTGCACCCGTGTACCGCTGCGTACGAAAATAAATGCGGGGCCGCGCTGCTACGTGCACTTTCCCGCGCGTTTCGTCCGCCCGCCCGCCGAATGTGCACCTTAAGGCGGACGGCCTACGGTTAGCATTTGAGCCGTACGGCCGCCGCGATGCGACCGAGCGGAGTAATTGATGCGTCACAGAATGGCGGGGGAGGAGGGGGCAGGGCGAGGGGGGGACAGAAGTGTAGCGGGGGCGGGAGGGGGGACAGGTCATCGTGCCGATCGCGCCGCACACAGGCCGACATAGTTGTAGCGATCTGTGCGCGCGTACCTATAGCTGTAGATGTAGGTTGTACTCCACTCTGTTGCCAGCCAGTAGTCCGTCCCGCGAAGGTCACTCACTTGACTCGATATAGAGGTCCGCTCGCACCTCCCCCCCCCCCCCCCCCCCTCCCAGCCCGCCCCGCTGCCGGCTCCGAGCGCGTTCTGCGATCCGTGTGGCGCTGCGCGATAACTTCGATGACACGGGTTCGAAACCGAACGATTAATTCGCATCAAAACGAACTATTGGTCAAATAGAATGGAATATTCACATTATTTAGTTTCCTTTTTTATCAAACGGGCATCGCTTCTACCATTACGGTGCCAAAGCGTCGGGTTACGTAAAGACGAATTTCTAGTAACTCGGTAAATCTCGTGACTCACGTGTTTTCGGGTGCGCCGTGTCTGCTCGTTTGTCAGGGAGTTGGCACAAACACCGCTATGCCGCGGTGTTATTGCTATTTCAGTAGTTGGCGAAAATGCGGAAGTCTGGTTGGATACCACATTTTTACGACAAAACTATATTGATTAGGTGGATGGAATTAGACAATGTCTAGTGGCGTACACGGGGTAAAGTTTAGGTAAACACACACAAAGCTCCGAACATTCGTAAAAGGTCGGCTGAAGGGTAGCTTAGCCCCCTTAGTAGTAGTTTAACCCCCAACTGTTACTCGCCCTTTGTAACTTGCTAAAACTTATCGCTCTATGCGCTAAAATATTACATATATACAAAGTTTGCGCGTATGTTTCTTAGTGCCAGTTGACGACATATCATCATAAAATTTTGATTTTCAGTTTAACGTAACTATGAAATTGCATGCAAATTTTAGCCCCGTTTTGTGTCTTTCTTTTATAGATAAGCGGTATAAAACAATAACTTAAAAAACAAGTACATTTTTACTAACAATAAACAAAACCGACTTCAAATATCTCAGTCACTATACATTTTCTATTTAATTATGAGTTTCTGATGTATCTCCGAACTCAAAGACCCAGTAACAAGTAAATTAATTTAGGACCAAATGGAAGCTAAACCGAACCGAATGCAAAGATAATTTTTAAAATTGGCTCATAAATGACGGAGTTCTGAGGTAACGAACATGAAAAAAAAGAATATCAACCGAATTTATATCGTTTTTCGAAGTCGGTTTAAAATCCTAAATAATTTCCCTATTTATCATGTGTTTCAATATAACGTTTATAATTATTAAAATGTGCGTTCCCCCGTTTGAAAATCGCGAGACACAGACTAGCGTCTATAGCGTCAAAATTACAACCAAAGCGTTTTAGGCAGGATGACAGTATGCAAGAAATGCACCGTTTAGCCTAGTTTTCGTGTCCAAGCGGTTACGATAGGAAAGCAAATAGATGCGCGGTCCTAGCGAGCGGGGCCGCGTGCCTAGTTTATGTGGATTGAAGTATGCGGGTTCCGCAGTCTGCAGGCGACACGACGACGAGCAATTACCGCCGCCAATTAATTCATCGAGCTGAGCGCCTTCAAAGGCGTTTGGAGAATGGGAAAAACGCGAGGCGTGGATCCCTGCCGCTTCAATGGGACGAGTTTCGACGGATTACGCTGAGCTCAACACAGATGTGTTCGCGAGTCAAATGTGGAGTAGGCGGATGCGGTGGCGCTTAATTGAACGACAGGTTGAAAGGGATACGACTCTAATTACGCTCGTATACCTCACGCAAAGCACGTCTGTAGAACGATATTCGCAGGAATTGTTCAGGAATTTTTATCGTGGTAGGGCCAAGCAGCAGTCTTCGCTGTTGCACGAATCGGCAGTTCCGTCCGGGGAAGTACCGCGACCTAACAGAAGACCAGCGCGAAGCGGAAGTGTTGGTCAGACAGACAAAAATGGTAAAAATAAATTTTGGTGTATGTAGCGTGTACACATCCATATGCATTTAGTAAAAAGCGGTTATTTTAATGTTAAAAACGGACACTCCAAATTCATTTATCTGTATAGATACACACAGACGACACTTTCCATCGACGCCTCAATTTAAGCGGCATTGTGCCAAAATGCGCGTCGAGTCTCGTGACGCGATGCGGGTTAATAGCAAAGTACGCGTTAAATAGGGATGCCAAGTGTGCGAGATAAAGCATAGGGCAAATTGAATTAATGTACTGCATCTACGTTATTGTTTAGAAGAGACTAAATCGAAGCTATGCCAAGATTATTTCGCACAGGTCGGTCTGCCTGCATCTCGATAACTAGCGTACTATCGTGAAAGAGCATTCCTAGTAATAGAGTAAAACAACTGTGGTGTTGCTAGGCCACAGTCTTCGCTGTTCCAAGAATGGGCAGGTCCGTCCGGGGTGTACAATACCACGATCTGACAGAAGATCGGCGGGAAGTGGAAGAGTTCTACTACCGCAATTCCTCTGCTGAGTGAGATAGCAGGGGCGCACTTTATAAAAAACGCATCAGCAACCCTACGGGTGCGTCCATGGGCGATGGTTATCGTTAAACATCAGGTGAAACGCCAGTTCACTTGCAATCTTCTTACATAAAAACCGGATATTTGGTTTACCCAGTGTCGGGAGCTTGCTGTTAATTAAGGTCACACATTAATTATTACTTCAGACATTCATGCACGTATAAGGCGAAAAAGGGGACTAAAGTTCTTCAACAAGAACAAAAAAGCTCAACACTACACCTTCCAGAAGGCAGATGTATATACAAAAAGAGTTATCATCCAAGTTCCATAAGAGTTCGCACATATAACGGGACTGTCCACGCGGTCCCGAGCGACGTGGACTCCGCTTACGGGCGCACGCGGGAGTGCCCGAAATAGCGTCGGGAACGAAAAAAGAGCGACGGAAATAAGGCGGCCGCGGGAGACGCCGCGGGAATATGCTAGCGCGTTGACAAACGCGCGGCGCGGAGTCAAGGCCACGGGACGCGTGGGCACGGCACTTGCGCAGGCGACCTCCAACGATTCCTTCAAAAAGGGTGGCTCGAACAAGTGACTTGACAAATGCTGAGATTACTGAGATAAAATTAACACGAATCCGATGCAAATCTAAATGTAATGGGCAATATTTATTTGGTCAATGGGCATGCTGCGTGATTGTTAGTAGAACAAAAACCTACCTTCATTACAAGCTTTATTCATTTCAGAGTTTAGAACTTAGCCGGCGTGAATAAAAATAATAAACTCTAAGTATAAAATCGTGATGAGTGTAAAGATTTTCTATAGAGAAATAACATTGGCACGTTTTATTTTACCACAACAATAGCGGAAAAGTGAGTGAACACAAAATTTTTTCCTTTGTATAATCCATATAATGTACATAGAATTTCATTTCTGAATAAAAAGGAAAAAAGAAGAAAGTTATTCTCCATAACACGATAAAAGAAAACTCGATCATTTTTAGAAGTAATATGATTTAATTTTGAAATAAATGACGAAGTAAGAAATAAGGTAAACATGGGTAACTCCCAACTCTAAATGTAAATAAGAAGTTTTCGTGACTTTCCACTGAATGATTTTGTGAATACACGCCAATAATACCTACAATAATATCAGAAGTTGTTCGCATTTATGATTTTCATTTTTATATCGAGTTTCTTATATCTTTTATTCGTCCTTAAGGGCAAATAGGAAACGACAAGACCTCTGTCTGCGGATATTCAAATCCAACTGATAAATTTAAAGAAAAATTACAAATATAAGCACTCTATCTTCCCCGTTTAAAATGTCACAGTGTGTAAATTACTACACAAGTTTCGAGTCCCATTTTTTTTCCTTAATCTCTACCTGGCAATGCTTTCTCGGAGCTCAGTATCAGGCACGCGGAAAGAATAACGCCCAGCGCATTCTCATCCCGCCCCATTGACGCATCCGTCCCTTGCAAGTCGCTTAGGCGTTCACACGGTTACCGCACACAATATCGAAAGAGGCAAAAACTGATTCGTACGAGACGCACAATGCCAGGGGCAATGTCGCAGATGAGCATAGCCCGCAGGTACGCAGGGTACAGGCAACGGCTGACGCGCATGTCGGGAAGGTGCGGATCAAAAAACACGCGGTAAACATTTTTTTAACGCGCTTTTTCGATACATGAGCGGAACGGTTCTTTACAGGTAGAGGGAATAACAATGGATGCGCCAAACATTACTTCAAATGCTAAAACAATGTAAATAAATGACGATGAGATTTTCGCCGGTGTGCCAATCGCAAGTGTAATTCAACATGTGACAAATAACTAAATAAAACTATTACTCATCCCTACGGTCGTAACTCTTCAATTTCTCTAAGCAGTAAATACACGACGACAAAACTTCTGTTAGTGTCCGAGGGTTCGCCGGATGCGGTCCCTGACGCTACATTCGTTTATCTTATTAAGTGTCGTTGTAAATGGGTTAAGTAGTTTTTAGTGCCAGCTGAGCGAGGATATTCGGGCATTAGTGCCGGTGGGACGCAAATAGACTGGACCGTCTTTCCGACGTGTACAAAGTTTGATATTTACAGCAAGAGTGCATAGACTTGCACTGGCTCGGTGTACTTCATTATCATTTCAGCTTGTTACGGTCCAGGGAACGCCACGAAGCACGATCCTGAGCGTGGGGGGTCATCCTTTCTACACTTCGATGGCCAGGCACGAGGCTGCTACTCAAAAACCTTTCTTCCCCATCACTTATCAGTTGTTCAAGCTATTACAAGTGCCCTTGACCCATACCTAATTCGCTGAGGATGCGTTGCCAACCGTTCTAGACCGTTCGAGCCGTGGGACTTCACCGTCCGAGGCGGCGAATTCCTGAGGATACGTCAAGTGCATCTAGAGCATATAGAGGACGGGCGGGTGGTACACGGCGTCGGTTAAGTCCGCGTCCCCCTCCGCCCCGTCGAGAAGCTTATGCGGGGAGAGCGGTGGAAGAATTACGACTTTGTTTGCCCCGCCTTGGGCCGCGGCCAGGGAACGTCAATAAATCCCTATAAGAGTCATTAGCTCACACAAACACGCGGAGGCAAACTAGGCCGCAATTCTACTCGAGCGGTACGAGAGGACAGAACTCACTGCGTAAATCTCCACCACCACTTCCATATATATCCTCATAAGTACTACTGGCTATAATAGCCAACTAACTCCTTTGCTAAAGCACCGTATGGTCGTTTATTTGCGACCCATAAATTCACTTGTTAATTACTCTTTCCGAACCACATAGGACAATCTCTGGTGGTAACAATATTACGTTGCCTTCGTAATGCCAGTAGATCGCGTGACGTAAAAATGCATGGCATATTTCAAAGATTTAGGCAGATGATACAGGATTTATATTTATCAAGATATAGACCTTAAAACGTTCTGGTCTGTCCTGACAGTAGAGAAATACCAAAATCAATTTATGACGTCATTTATATTTGGTACAGTAGCGGAAGTCCAAATACACAGGAGAGGTATCAAACACACAGTGACCGTTAATTCGTGATTTATCATACAAGAAATGTAACTGGAGTATCGCAAGCGGACACTGAACGCTGGGCGACATTCCAACAACTGGGGCATCGCTGGCAGACATCGCGAGGCTCAAAAACATGACAAGCTTATAACTTGTCACGCCCAGGACTAAAAGAGATCGGTGTTAGTTAGCAGCAGTATCCGCCACTGTTCATCCAGTTACGGTGAGAGGGTGTTGCGTTTTAGACTGGCGCCACTTGCCATCACTACATAGTATAAAACAAAGTCGTCCCGCTGTCTCTCTGTCCCTATGTATGCTTAGATCTTTAAAACTACGCCGCTTGCCTTTTTTACACTGACTCATAGTATAAACGGTGGTAAGGCCACGCTGCAGCTTCGGCTGTTGCAGGAATGGGCAGACCCGTCCGGGTAAGTAACACGACCTCACAGAAGACCGGCGTAAAGTGGAATTAAATTCTTTCGCGTTTCGTCTGGTGAGTGAGGTGGCCGGAGCCCATTTTTCAAACGATTGTCGACGCATCTGAAAACCTCGGGTGTGGCAGATGTACATTGGCGGCGGTATTCACTTAACATCAGGTGAACCGTCTACTCGCTTGGCAACTTTTCACAATAAAAGAACAAAAATATATTACACATTGAACCCGTGCGAAGCCGGGTCGGGTCGCCAGTCATAAATATTGACGAACTCGAAACTGCGCAGACACAAATCGGTGGATGACGTAAATGATTAGGAGAGAGCGCCGCGCGTCCGTCAACAGTGCGATAGGGTCATCGAACCCGCGTGCAGACTTTGCACCTATTTATAGACGATAACAGATGTGTAAGCTACACAGTTTGGGTCGGTTTGCGTGGCCGAACAATAAATAGTCAACAGTGTGGTTCCTTCACGAGATAACTATCGTCATGAACTACACATACTTATTCCGGATTTAGTCATTAACAAGACGATATTAGCAGCATGAGCAATTCAAAAATTCTCCAAGGAATTCGGATTATTTCTGGATTCGACATCTTTGACAGTTTCAACGAGAAAGCATCGCTGAACTACCGATACAAACATCAATATTTGCTTGGTTATTTGAAGTTCAAAATAGATCAAAGTGCACCAATAATTTTTCGGCATTTACGTTAATAAAGAAATCCAATTCGTTTCTAAGTAAATCAATAAAAATCTAGCTAAAGGATTATTTGTTTAAATAAAAGCACGTGAACGGTTTCAGTAACTTGAACGATAATATCGAAAACATATTTAAAAATATAAAAAGTGTAAAACGAACCATAATTCAAGAGTATACGCGAAAAGAACGTACACCGAGCAAAGTAAAGTTCTTGGTGACTGAGGCATGCGACGGTCGCCGAACAACTCCGAAAACTAGTTTAAATCTAGACGATGACTGGTCCCAACAACGTCTGCCCTACTTCCAGTGGAAACGTCGCAAATTTACGGCCGCCCTACGCGATTCCACCATATTGGAGACGAGCCGGGTCGGACGCGTCGAAAAATTGTTGAGCATTACGTCTTTCTAGAGCGCACGAGATCAAATTTAAGATCCACGATCATTCACAATAAAGTCTTCGACTGTAATATTCATTCCTTCATTCCAGTAAAGCAACATCCTATAAATTTCCCACAGCTGGGCAAAGGCCTCCTCTGTACCGAGGGCATTAGGGCACAGTCCACCACGCGAATACACTGCGGATACCTACGACTTCACATACCTACGAAATATTTCTTTGTTATTATTTCGAAAATATGCAGGTTTACTCACGAATTTTTCTTTTACCGAATTGCATGTGATGAGTTAGCATCTAAAATTAATAATTTCAGTTTGAATTACATAACATGCAATTTATTGGGCGATATTTTACGTGAACCGACAGCCCGCTAGCCATCTTCTTACGTAAAAAAAATAGCTTAAGACGGATAGTTTAATTTAAAATATGTATTTTGGTACGAATAAATCTACAGACGGAAGTTCAGGGTACATTACATCCCAATAGAACTGGCAGTTTGTTTTACGTTACCCACTAAGTGACCTTATAAATTGGTAATGACGCGAAAGGCCGGCACCGTTAGAGCATTTCAATAGTTCCGAAATGCCCTAATCACGTCCATAAATCCCTTCGACGTGGCATATTTATAGACGCAATATCCGCCAAGTTCTGTACTGAGAGGGCGAATTATGAACTTAGGAAATGTCGGAGGCACCAACTTCAGTCTCGCGAAAGCCTTTATACGCTCCTTATGAGAAACATGTTTGTCGGTTTATTAAGAACGAAGATATATGTATATCTGTCGATTTCGAGGACACATTGGTAATTTCGGGAGCTCCGAAATTGGCAACGCATCGTCGTGCCTTTGGCTAGTAGTGGGACACTTATATGTCTATGCTGCTACTTTTACATCACTCTTTATGTACATTATTTCATTGAAAAGAACACTTCCCGAGTGTCAAAACATGTTCCCTATTCCCTAACCTGTCATATTCCCTAGCAACCACGCGATGTTCGGAGGAAATGACTCACGATTATTCACGCTAACACGCTTCTGTCTCTGGATTCGAATCCCGCACCGGAAACGTCGTGGGCGTGCGTCAGGCGACTACGAACATTCCGAACCGCGCGTGAGGCAAATCTAAGTAAGATATACGTTTATGGACTCATATTATTTATGGACTCATATTATCACTCATTAAGATATACATTTATGGACTCCATGATCGAGAAATTGATGACGGAGCTTTGTACCCTTCGAGTACCGTGAGTTACACTGTGGTAGGGCCACGCAATGGTGTTCACTGTTGCAAGAATGGGCAGGTCCGTCCGGGTAAGTACCACGACCTCACAGAAGACCGCACTGAATTAGAAGTGTTACACTTGTGCGGTTCGTCTGGTGAGTGAGGTAGCAACGCATTTGAAACCCTATAGGTGTTGCAAATATCCATGGGCGGCGGTTATCACTTAACATCAGGTGAACCGACACCACGTTTGCCACTTTGTCACATAAAAAAAAAAACGTTATTTCATAAGAGATACCACACAAGTTCCTTAAAATGTAAACGGTGATAAATAATGCTATCTACGTCAAATCTATGAAATATTAAACCTCAAAAACGCAAGACTGTAGTTGTTGGGTGTAATAGGAAGTCACGTCACTGTTGTAAGAACCTGGAACGCAAAGAATTGAATGTTTGACGTCCCGGTTACTAGTCGGCGCTATAAACATAAACGTAATCCAGTAAAGTGTTTTAAGTGATAACTCATCATGGGCTCAAATAGATGCATATTTTAGAAATAATAAAAAAAAATCGAAGATATGTGAAGGCCGCCAATCCGCAATGGGGTCGCGTGGTGGACTATGCTCTGATACCCTCTAATAGAGGAGGCCTTTGCCCAGCAGTGGAATATATATGTATAGGTTATTATTTTATTTTACTTTTATATTTTTACATAACCGTACATGACCTTAAAAATTTACAAATTGTTATCCCACGAAACAGATGTTATTAATTACTTATAACTAACAATAATACAGTTTTGTTTTTATTTAAATTTTTAAAGAATTTTAAGTTAAATAATGGATTAAATTACTTCATTTAAATTTTTTGGTCAACTATGATAGCTTACATATATCCGTTTAAATCATTCAAAAACAAATCTATGGTATCGTGACTTGATATATCTTGGACAGTTCAAAGATTTTTAAGATTATTTTTTTTTGCAGATAGTGCTGAGCAGTATCACTTCTTATTATATTGTTTCATTGCAATACTTGTACTATAATATTTCATATTGCAATTTATTTCGTTTATGTCAGCTAGTTGTAGTGCCTACTCAAAAATACTATAAACAAGTTTTTCTCTTTTAGTAGTTTTACAAAAACGTGATTTTTCCAAAATTTTGTATAACTTTATGATTTATTTATATTGCTTTTTTTTAGTTAAATCTGCCCTCAAAAATACTGGCATCCCCACCACCATAAAGCCATTGCTCGTTGAATTAATCATCCAAAATAATGTGTTAAAATCAGACGAAATTCAAGGATATAGTTTCTACTTAAGTACGGTTAAACTATACTATCGCTGATCTCCGTATGGTGCAGTCCTACAAGTACTCAAAATACAACTTAATATTTTTTACGTTAGTTTCGTCCGAGGTAACTCTGAGGTGGACTTGAAAGCTAATTAGGTATATCCCGGAACAAAAATGTGATCGCAGTACATAAGATCACCTGCTCAGTCGGCGATAAATCGCAGTAAGTCATTGCATAGGGTCAAGGTCAGTGCTGTAGCTATCAACGATACGCCTGACCTTATCTCGATGCGACCTTCGCGGAAAATCTGTCCGAGATAATGAGATAATGCTGCCCGTTGACGAGACGCCGAGTCCAGGTGACCGTTGCCAGATTAATGTATGAGGCGTTCATTGCTAAGGCCATTAAGATGACACACGGACGTGGATTAGCTAATAGCTCCGTTATTTATTTACGAAGTTCTGTCCCACTAATAGAACTTCACTTGGCATACGCTACTTTAATGTCAATTAAGCATTCATTGGCGTTTATGTGGCCATTTGTATAATAATACATTTATACGAATTGTTATTATTCCTTAAATCTTGAAAGTTTGCCTAAGGAATGTTAGAACTTAGTTGTTACAAATAATTTTGTTTTCTTATTTATTGTACACAAACCACAAGATACAAAAAAAATGAAATGTAATGTAAATAATGTACAAGAGTAAGCTTAACTCAATACACGAGTTCTCAGCCAGCTAACCTGGTGAGAAAAATATATGATTGAAGATAGCTGGAAATGTGTTCAGGGCACACAAACATTCCTATAACGTATCGTGTATTTGTTATAGTATTATAACTATTGGTAAAAGGAGTCATTACATTAATGCGTGCAATGTATGGATAACAAAAAATATTATTCTCAAACAAATTATTCATAAACCATTGCATACTTGTTGTACGAACATACGAGTTTACGTCTTCCATGAGCATTTACATTATTTCACAATATGAAATTGCACACTCACTTACAAAGCTAAAAGTTACGAAGACGATATAGAAAGTTACTTATAAGCGACGTTTGAAGTCCCGCATAAGTTATTACTGAACTTAAATGGTTGTTATTGGTTAGCAGTGACGTTGAGATATAATACTTTAAGGGCACGTGTTTCGTACACAAAACACGAGCGAGTTGACCTATTTAATGCCGACACTAATTAGAGTAATTGGTGCAACTAACGTGGCAAAATAGCAAACAAGTTAAGTACGGTACTGATGTAACCAAATACAAGCCAAGTGTGTCATTAACAATTTATAGACAGTTTAAGAGTTTCCCAGTTCGAATTCGAGCCACTTACCCACTGCGGTGTGTCTACCCGCCTCGGTCTAGAAACGCGTTTCCGAGCTCGTTTCGATTAGAGGATCGAAACTCAATCGTCGGAGAGGACGGTTTCGGCGAAGAAAACGGATTGTGGCCAGTTACCTTGTCACGATGTCAATCAAGACCTCCCCGGAAGGCGTGGGCCACACCATATTACACTAGATCACTGCACAAACGGTCCACCAAGTCGCCGCGTCCAACATCCCAACGGATAAGGAACCCGACGCACGCCGAGTGATAACGCGGGCCCAAACATAAAAAAAAGCACCCGGGGGTCCCAAGAAGGTCGAATCTGGTATTTTCTCGTGTCGAGCTGGCAACGCCGCGGACGCCGGTGGCCGGACGCGTTCGGTCCGCGCGCCGCTCATTGGCCGAATGCGGCGGCGGCCATTGCGGCGCGACGGCCGCTCGCCCAATGGCGCCGCTTCCCGCGCGCCCCGCCCACATCCTTTTCGCCTGTTGAATGGAACGCGCGGCAGTCGCATCCGGGCCGCCGAATGGCGCGCACGTCCCTACCACGCCATCGCCTCCGAGCAGGAAACGGTGCCACGAACGCATGTCCAACGGACCCCCGACGCTGCACCGTCGAGAACGCGAACGTAAAAGAGCTACACGTATTTGTAGTTAAATGGCACCGGCCGATATAGGAATTCCTAGATACAACTCAAAACAAGTGAACGACATTGTGACCTAAATAATCGTCTCTAGTAGTAGCATGCTCAACTTGTTCTTACCGCTGTAACGGTTCAAAGTACGGTTCGACAAAACGCGTACGTTTATTACCTGAAACAATAAAAAATTATACGTTAATTACGGAAATCTTAACAGGTTCTTAATAATTTTAGCATGTGAACTTCAAAAAAATTAAATAGCAGACAAACATTCAGATATACGTTCACTTAACTACGTTTCAATATACATATTGAATCGTAGTTAAGTATTTATGCTAATTTAGAATTAATGTCACTATTCGAAGTGGTGAAAAGCACGTGAATGTGGTGTTAAACCAAACCAAAACATAAAACCAAAATGATGTCTTAAACTTTTTCAATTTAAAAATAAGTGTGACGATTAATTTTTATAATACATTAGCTATGCTATAGTGGCTGGTTTAGACAGATATAATTATCCGTCAACCTTGATGCAACCTTCATCAAACCAATTCGTAGACTAAATCATAAAGATGACACTTTGAAATTAATTTTTTAGATTACCCAAGACGCCGTTCTTCGTTTAAGGTTTTATTCGCCATGATCGTTTAAAACTACGAAATCGTTCTTAAAATAACTTCGCCTCTGTATTTTCCCAGCAGCGAAACGCAATAAGGAAAACTGGTACCTAGAGACAAATGAAAGTGTGAGTACATGAATAAATACAGATTTTTTTCTAAATTTTGAATGTAGGTTAGCTATTGTAACTGACCAAGTGCCCTTGTTTTAACCTATATAACTTCTCACAATTGGGGAGATACGAAGTCAAGGTAGAGAATAATTATTCAGTCAGGTTTTAGGAACAGTGCACATTATTAAATAAAGTGATGGTCTCATAACCATAATGCTAAGTGTTCGATAGTTCGAGGATTAAATTTCAAATGAAACAAGTAAAATCAAATTAAATGACGCGTGGATTAGGTTTATTAGATAATATGTAATTTTAGATAGATATTAGATAAATAAATATTAATCACTAAAAAAATTTAGAAGTAAATTTGTAATCTTGCTTTTTAAATATAATACAAAACATCTTCGAGATCTATTTCCCCGAAGTCTGAGTAATATGCAAATTTGTACGTAGTAATACGTGAACGAGAATCAAATGTATGAAAATAAATTTATATAATAACTAGCGAATCGAACAGACGTTGGTCCTGTCTTAAATTCGACTTAAATTCACACACATAACACACGAATTAAATTCGACAACTTAGAACAAAATTGTCATTTGACAAAAAATAAACTCTGTCAGCAAATTTTACACTTGGTACGCGCGTTGGGCTCGTTCTCGTATTGGTTTATTATGACAGTCGTTTCGGAATTAACATTAATTTTTTTTTCTGTTAAAAGTTAACGTCACTGATGATAATTTAGTTATAAAGCATTGTAGGTGCGCGAGTACTGAACGTAAAATACACTGCATACTGTCAAAACGCTTTGAAATGTGTTTTCTGTGCCGATCAAAAAATAAAATTTTCTAATTAAATTTCAAATGTGTTTTTTATGCCGATCAAAATTTTCTAATTAAATTTCTAGAGCCGAGATGGCTCCACATTTGGGCGCACGATTATAATTCATTATAGTCGAGCAATCTGGATTCAAATCCCGGTGCCAGCACCAATGAAATTGTTTATATTAAGTGCTGGCTTATCACGTAAGAAAACATCGTGAAGAATCTGTATATTTTTAAATAATAACAAAAAATATTTCGAAGATATGTGATGCCTGCCCATCCACGGTGTAGTCTTATAATGTTGGACTACGCTCTAATACATGGATGCAGGTGGCTCAGGTTCTGTTCGTAGCAGTTCTATGGGGGAGGGAGGCCTATGTTCAGCAGTGGACTCAAACAGGCTGAAATGATGATGATGCTGCTCTATTACCCTCTGTGCAGAGGAAGGTATTTCAACGTATGGAAAACGAATTTTTCGAACATTAACCAATCGGTACTACTTTAAGGCCTTGCCAATTTGGTCATACGGTGGCAGATGCGAGCAGAAATAGATGAAATGACGTATCGGCTGGTAAAGCACCATAAACTCGCAGATCACCGGCGTAAATTACAATTTTTACTACTTTTGGGTGCTCCGATGACTTAGGCAATATATTTCTCCGCTTTACACGTTTTCTAATTTTTTTTTCATTGCTCTTACTTTAGGATTACACTATCCTGTGTTGTAAGGACGTTTTTACAAACATAAATTTCACGCGGACAAACACCCAGATGCGAAACCACTATCTGTGGGTCACACAAATACCCGTGTGGGAATCGAACCCACGACCCTCGACGCCGAGGCCAACACCATGGCAACTGCGCTACGGAGTCATCATGTTATATGTATACAGCGTGTCTTTACAATGGCGACAATAAATGAACACACATATAAAGGATAACTTTTTAAAATTTTATTTAAAGATTTACATTCTTTAAACATCAATATTTACCAAGTTACCAAATTTTCCAAAACAAAGAATTTTAGAACACCCCTTATGTATAAAACTATAACGTAAAATTCATTTCTAAAAGTCACAAAGCATATGAATGGGTTGAATGAATTTATAAAGAGACAAAACATACTGTTGAAACATACTGTAATGAGACGCTGTGGCGCGAGTTGTGTAGGATGTTACAAGTTTTGTTTCTTTTTTTACTTAATTAGTTTGTTTGAAAAATATTTTTTTTAATTAGGAATTTTATTTAACGTTAATATTTTTTTGTTATTATTGGCAAGTAGCGTTAGACGTGTGCTCATTTATTGTCGCGATGGTAATGACACGCTGTATATAGATAAATGGCATACTTTCTACACCAGCAACCGACCAACAGACTAACATTTATACGGTTTAGTAAATTACATTTTTATTTCATTATTTAATGGCACTTAACAATACAAGATTACGTTGAATATATCTCTCTCTATTTCACGAATGGGTAGGCTCATCCGGGGAAGCACTAGGACCCCACAGAAGACCGGTGTGATGTGGAAGTAATATACTTTCGACTTTCTGGTGCTTGGGGTAAACGGTGCCCACATTTTTAATGGATGACAATAAACCTGCATCCCGTCGCATGTTGACATGTCAACGGACGGTGTAAATTACTTAACATCAGGTTAACCGCCTAGCCTGCTCGCTTACCAACTTATAAAATTATAAAAATATTACCTATTATCAATGTTTTCTGTGTCTTTTGGTATTACTTACATAGAAAATTAAATATAATTTGAATAAATGACCGTCTACTTTTTATCGGTGACAACGTAGTTATGCCCTATAGAAATAAACTCATTTATTTATGAAATAAATGATAAAGAAACACACCGTGTCTGTTATAAGTGTTATTTGGGTAGATATAGAGGTGTGGGTGTTTAGGTGTGGACGAGGGCGGAATGCGAGACAACTTTTCTTCGGGGCCATTCCGCTCGCCCACGTCCAATGAGCACACGGATTTCGTGTTTACCTCACTCTGCAACAAGTACCTATTTAATATGACCGAAAAGTGAAAGCATATATCCGATACGATTCTGGGGAGCATAGTCTGCCCTCAAAGGCCGGCAGCGTATACTATACTACGAACTACTCTCACTTTCCAAAAAGTATCCAAGGGTAATATTCACTTCTGATAAAAAACCGACTAAAGAGAGCCTTTATAAAGACGGCAACAATTTAACAACTACTATGGATTTATATCACACTAATCATCAATATATATCGATACATAAAGGTCAGCAGGTTCGTTTAATGAGCGTGAGAAAATAACTATTTTTTTTTATTCTTTTTTTTTATAAACATTGCCCTTACTTTAGGATTACATTATCCTGTGTTGTAAGGATGTTTTTACAAACATAAATTTCACGTGGACAAACACCCAGATGCGAAACAACTATCTGTGGGTCACACAAATAGTTGTCCCGTGTGGGAATCGAACCCACAAACCCCGACGCCGAAGCCAATACGTTGGCAACTGCGCCACGGAGTTATCAAAACTAGACATTGTATTTCCACAATTTAAATTAATATAAAATCCTTTAATGTATTCGGAATCTTTATCATTAAGATTCCCACGCATCTAAGGCATCGATGAACAAAAAAACCTAATATTTCATTGTTTTCATCAAATAAAGAAAATACTGAAAGTAAACTATTTCAAATTTGTCTACAGTATTACGATTTATGTTACCTTTAAAGGCGAAACAAGTCATATTTAACTTTTCTCTCCAAAGTTCATCATCATCAGCCGCAAGACGTCCACTCTTGAACATAGGCCTCATAATAAGTTAACTAATAAGTTAACTATTCTTCATATTCCAAACTATGAAAGTTACTACTTTATATATTAGATAATTATTTATAACAATTAGATATAATTACAAATTAGATATAACAAAATAACTAACAAAGCTCTAAAAGTTCTTTTTCATCGAATGAAAAGTCGAAAGATTTTAGATTTATTTTTAGAAAATTGTGACTTCAAAAGTCGGTATCAAAACATCTCGTTGCGAACAAATCGCACCTTTCGAATAAAAGAAAAATCATGATTTTTACTAATGCTCCTCCTTGCTGACTCCTTATTTCAACAAGCGCCGATTTTAGAAAGCTACATAACATAAACTTCAGTCTGTTTTACTCCCCACCGGACATTAGTTCTTAAGTGCAAAAATATTTATTTTACTTTTTTCCAAAAATGATTTTTTTTTTATATAGGTCACTATAATTCTAAACGTGCGTAAAGCCTGTTCGAGCGCTACACCAACTGAAGTTTAATAAAGTAATTGGAGATCAAGGTCCCTGCTCGTGTTTCTAGGTGGAGTGTTTGATTAGCTTAGGAGACGGCGTCCTTGGGAGGTCGGTCGGCTGTCGCTTAGCGACCAGCAGTAAATTTGAAACGGGGGAGCTATGGAAGTACGTAAGATAACACAAATGAAATTCTATTGATGAATAGAGTGCCTATCTCGTTGCTTTTAAATTCCCGGCCTTTAGCAGCGTCCAGTTATGTATGTCCTTCATTTACTAACGTGTTTGACTTATAGTCTAAGATATTTTAATCCGCCAAACGTTTAAATTCAAGTTTTTATAGAAGTGACTATGAACCGATCCGTAAAAAACAGGCTTGCAATACCGCCTGGTCTGCTACTTACGCTCGATTATATTTTTTACCAATTTACGAACGCAATCACGCAGGAGACTATCCTAATACTACGACAGTCGACATGTAAAATATATATATTTAAAATCTCGAAAATGCAATATGCCTCTCGATACAGGCTTGCCTAGTGAGGAGACAACAGATATTGCATTTATTATTAAAAAAAAAACTTTTGTATATACGTTATTTTTAAATTAATTTTAATTTGTATTGATTTTTGTTTTAAATAAAAAATTAATGTATTTATCAATACAATGTAGTTGTGCATCTTATTATGGACTTATGTTATTTTCGGATCGCAGTTTCTTGGCGTACTTTCACTGTTCCAGTCTAATTATATATACCGATGACTGATGCCGCTCTAGAGATCTCGAGGCGGTCTAAATCTAAACGCGATCGACACCGTCGCGTTGGTCCAACACGTTCTATACGAAAGGAACCTACTTTGAAATAGAATCGTAAAACTCGCATCGCCTAAATAGCCGTTAATTTTGTCTGCGTTTTACGACAGCCTTACACGAAATGTATTGTTGTGAGGCCAACATCAAGTTATTTTCGACGCGGTCGGAAAGGGATGTTGTAGGTTTGTATATATTTCGAAGTCATGGCTCTCATTAGCTACAAGCTAATTCGTGAACATGTGAAAATCGTCAAATTCGTACACTCGTTAAATTCTTATAAAGAATACACTTTATAAATACATTGACTTTATGGTAAATAAACATTGAGGGTTTTTGAATGCGGCCAGTACACTGACAGACAGACTGACAGGCGACACAGCTTCAACAGCGTCTAGGTACAAGAAATACCACACATGATTGCCTGGTGTAACGTATTTATACAAATGGAAGAATTGAATATTCGTTTCTTAAAAATGCACCTGGTTTGCCACACAGAAAGGGGAATACTTAACTCGTCGTCGCATTGAAAACGAATATAATAATTTTTAACAAAAAAAAAAACGGAAATTAAAAAACATTGTTGATACCTATAACATTTGAGGATTACCCTCGATTTCTCTGGAATGCCATCATCAGATCCGGGTTTCCTTATCACGGTACCACCTTGGGATATCCTTTCCAACAAAAAAAGAATCATCAAAATCGGTTCATAAACGACGAAGTTATTCGCGTATACCTCCTTCATTTTTGAAGTCGGTTAAAATGAGCGCAATTCTTACGGTTTTCTTTAAGTTTCTTAGGTCTACGAACTCACATCGTAATCTTTGAGCCAGTTGCTAAAAATTGCGAGTATGGGCAAGTCAACTAATGACCATCGGACATCGCGCCAGAACCAACAATTTCATTCACACCACCTCGATGTCCAGCGTTCTACAACAGCGTGATTTTCGTGGCATTTCTTGCCTCGCACAACCACACTGTGGAACCAGCTGCCGCCGGCGGTCTTTCCGAACCGTTACGACCTGGGAACCTTCAAGAAGAGGCATACTCTTTCCTGAAAGGCCGGCAACGCATTTGTAAGCCCTCGGGTGTTGCAGATGTCCATGGGCGGCGGTAATCACTTACCATCAGGTGAGCCTGCTGCTCGTTTGCCCCTTTTCTCATTTAAAAAAAAATGAAAATTGAAAACTGTACCACTGTATCAGCCAAAAAAATTATTACCAGGCCGTAGAGACGCAAGTTATCTAAACGACGCGCTTAACTGAAATTAAATGTGGGCTTATAAATAGATCTCTTAATATATGTTTTATATCATATAATACTTCGCAAAGGCACGAATATCATGTTACGTAACTAATAATGGAGTCTCTGAGGGATATGTGAATAAATAGAACACATACCTATAAATAATGCAGTTACGATTAGGCGATTTAAAATATTTTAAACGACATTTCGGCTGAAAACTCTAACCTACTCAAGGGAAACATTCTCGTGCGTGTTTCTACGCCGAAAGTGGGTAAGGAGGAAGCAGGAGTATTGCGAGGTGCGACATTTTTTTTACCCACGTAATATCTCTCAAAGGCGGCGAGTTCGCGTCAAATACGGGGGAAATCGACTCTACAATGCGAACAGCTGATTCGGTTTCCCCGGCGGGGTCGCTTCAAGGTCCTCCGAGCGGCCGGAGGGGTGGGAGGGGTGGAAACGCTCCCCTACGGGTGGCACGCGCGAAATTTCACCCCTTCGCGAAACCCTCGCGGGACCGGGGTGGGTGCCGATAATTCAATATTTTTTTTAAGAATACTCTATTCATGAAAAATAGTTAATCAAAGTTTCCTTTGCGAAATAGTTGCACTTTTTGAATATTGCCTTAGCTAAAAGCGCTTCTTTCAACTGACCATAATTATGTTCGTGCGATCTAATACTTTCCTAATCCACAGTTTAAATAACGAATAAAAAAATTATCAAAGCGATTTAATTTTCATCCTAGATCAAATGAAAAGATTCTATAATGAAAAGGCCCGCTCCGAGTCGTACAAAAAGGGCCGGTTTAATACATCGCCGCCATCGAAGCGTGTTCCTACGAAGGACGCCCCTATGATCTCGATACGCGTTTTACGTAATCCGCTTCAGGACGAGCGACGCCGCATTCCGGCCCATTGTTGTCGTCCACGTCCTACGCGGGGCGAGTTTACTACAGAACCAACAATGGTCTCGTGTTCAAGGAGGCGGGAGGCATACCTACATACATACATCCCCCGATAAGATAACCCGCGCGATCGTACGCCGCGATAAAATTACGCACGGACGCGGCGTTGCCGCACCGCCGGCGGACGGGCCGCGGCGCGCGGTTGCCGCACCGGGCGGCGGCCATTTGCAATTCGGATGGCGGGCGCGCTGTTACGACACGCTCGCTCAAAATAAAAACAATGTTTTAGTTATAAATTACGGGGCGTTGGGTACGCGCTAATAATATCGGGCTCAGGCCGCGCGCCGGCCACCCCCCCGCTCCCCCCGTCCCTCCAGCTACATACATGCGTGGCATCTGTCAGTGCGGCGCATGACACGTGAGGCCGGCGTTGTTCGGCGGCGTAAGATTGACCTTCAATTTAACGGCCGATAGTATTTATTGATATTTCATTAAACTGCGCCAACGAGCCGCGTTGCGAGCGATGCGCTTTGGAGCGCTGCTTAGTTGGCGAGATGGGATTATGGCATCAAGGATTTAGAACAGAAAGGGTGCGTTATTGAACGGGCTTTCAAATAATGGAGGAAATTTAGTGACAAGCTGTACGCTTGGCGACATACAGAAACAACGCCGAAAAAATAAAAAATGATGCGAACACACATACAAAAATCGGTGACGAGGTTCTATAATAGTTTGGACGCTATTACGGCTGCACTGAGATACTTCTGTCTACAGCTACACTCAATCTCTACGACTCGACATTACAAAAGTCATACAGTGCGATAGTATTAATTACAGACTCCACGACTCCACCGAACTGATTTTATATTTAAGACTTTTTAACAGACTTCAAAAAAGAAGGAAGCTCTATTCCGTGGTATATTCTATTTTTGTTACCTCAGAACAACATTATTTAACCGATTTAAAAAATTCTTTTTGCATTGGCTAGGTGCGGTTTATTTCTCACCTTATCCAATTTTAATTTCGGGTATTTAGGTAGGTAGGTATTTGGACCTTGGACACCGGAGAACGTCATGGAACTTCACAAAATCCAATAAAAAATGTATATTGAGAGAGGTAAGAAGAACAGAAGGAAGTCTGTTTTCTACATTAATAAAAACACTTATAGATGTTTTATTTCGTACCATCTCGTAGCCGCTACCGTTTGAGGATTAATATCTATCTTCTGACGGATAGCTCGCGAGCCGTCTATAGTAACGAAAGGCATGATAAAATATACAAGTGAACGAAGTTCGAAACTACGAGAGGGCGAAGTCTAGGTGCAGTTGAAGAACTCGCAACGCACGCACGACCCCGCGGCAAAGGGAATGGGAAATAAGCATGAATATTCCGACGCGTTTTAATGTGGTAGGGCCACGCAGCAGCCTCGGCCGTTGCACGAATGGGCAGGCTAATCCGGGTGAGTATCACCTCGCAGAAGACCAGCGTGAAGTGGAAGTTATAATACTTTCGCGTTCCCTCTGGTGAGTGAGGTGGCCGGAGCCCATTTTTTAAAACTTGTCTACGCATATGGTACCCTCGCGTTTAGCAGATGTCCATGGGCGGCGGTATTCACTTAACATCAGGTGAAACGCTTGCTCGCTTGGCAACATTTCACATTTAAAAAAAAAACGCAGCAACGGCCGAGTGCGTCCGCGAGTGTACTTCAGGGATGTCTGCTAAAGTCCGCTTTCATTAGTCAAGGACGCGCCGCTCGGCACTGGCCACAGACTATAGAAGTGGACGGACCGAGGCGTATAGTTTTTATTCGGGAGAAAGTATAAACAAGCTGTCGACCCGACCAACGTAACGCGATTACCGCCGCAAGGCAGCACTCGTGAGGTTGCAATCGTGTTGCTAGCCTTTAACAAACCGGCCCAATGCGAATCGAACTCGCCCACGAAGGGTTCCGAACCATAATCTATAAAACCGGCAAAAAAATGTGTGATTTACGCGAGCCCCACTAAGTTTCTAGTATTCTAGTATTTTTAATTTTTTAGTATTTGTTATTATAGCGGCAACAGAAATACACAATCTTTGAAATTTTCAACAATATAATTATCACCGTTCTTAAGATACAGACAGACAGACAGCCGAGTCTTAGTAATAGGGTCCCGTTTTATCCTTTGGGTACGGAACCCTAAATACGTAGAAAAGGGGTCGTTTAACTCGCACACACATTCTAGATATTCTTATCATAACACCACAACGACCAGCCCTGCACTATTCACTCAACAGCAACGGCTGCGTGGCTCTTTCACATTAAAAAGACTAACCAAGCTGGTTTCTATATTTATTTGTAAACCGGTCGCCCTTTATGCCGCGCCCTTGAAGGCAATGTCCGAAATGAATGAAAGGACGTCGTAAATTATCATAATTCCCAGACTTTCTTATTCACGCTATCTGTCGCTTATCGTTAAGCTCAAAACGAAACCCTCGCTTGCTTTAAATAACTTCGAAACAGGCGGCTCGTGATTAGCTAAAACGCAATATGGAAATCAGAGCTTTTCAAAAGATTAAAGGATGGAACTTCTCTACACGTGGTTCGCGATTTCATTTGGAATTTTCTGTGCGAAAGCACGAAGCATATACAATATCAGAATCGAGTGTGGTTTTGTCAAAAAAGTAGGTATATTAAATCTTTTAATGAAATAATATACTGACTTTGTTAGTAAAGGATAATTTAACTTTCGATAAGATAAGATTTGGCAATAAGATGGTAAACTAAAAACAAGTCGGTAAACTGTTCCTGCTTAAGTTCACATCGTTAGTTGTTTATATTTTTATACATTTATTATATGTATTATATTATATTTAATTATAAGTAAGTAATTATAAGTTGTAATTGCATAGCTTAACGATTCTTAAAATTTTCTCATTACATGCGAGTATACTTCCTCGTACCTCGGGAAGCTATATCTTTCCTAGACCACCTAATAGGTTGACTGCTTGAGATTACCTCAGGCATTAAGACCGCTCATACACAAGATTTGTGGAGCCAAATAAATAAATAAAACTTAGATAATATAAGGATTCTGTGCCGGAGATCCGTAAAACTCAAGACCAAATAAAGATGAACGGTCCAGTCGAAAATATAATGCTCATATCTCTTAGAGATTTTTCCGTGTTAGCCACGTCGGGGCCAATAACATGAAATCGGTCTCCTGATGCGGATCCGAACGGTGTACATCACGAGGCACTGACGAAGCCAACACGAGGCACAACTTTTCAATTTAATCCAACGTGTCCATTTTTGGATTTTATCGCGTGCAGTTTGAGGATCAACGTATTTCTCGGCCTTTTTTCTGTATTTTTTTATTTGAGATCTGCCCTATAATTAAAGAAAAGTACTGTATATTTTGTTTGTCCTAGTAATATATACCTATAGCCTTTGAATGCTTTTGAAATTAGTAACTTTTTCACCCCCGACTTAGTATGTTTTTTCGAAAATATCTGTGTTACGATTTACAAATTAAAATGTTGGATACGGAAAGGCTTTTGTCATTGAACACAATGAAATATTTATTTATTGTTTGCTTAGTAACGGAGAAATACGTTAATCACTTTCAGCGTTAATTTCCAAATTAATTTATAAATATGTAACAGGAAAACAAAATTTCATTTGAACAAAATAACAAAAAGACTAAGCTACTCGGAATTAGGTAGCATTTTTATTTAATGAAAATTAAAAAAATTCCAAAAATGATTGCTAATGAAACAAAAACAAATGACGGATATTAGATTAGATTTCGACGGGGTCTAATAATGAATAAAATAACGCTATCACGATTTTTTATTAGATAACATGTATTGTCTTATAACTTAGCAATATAAGTAGTTCATAGGCAACAATCATGTCAGTGATATAAGGTTATAAGAGTGGTTTCGATAATTTATATACAAAAAAAAATCATTGGTATATTCTCGAAGTCGCCCGCAGTCTTCATCAGCGCGCACGGCTCTAAAGGGCCCATTTCAGTAGATCGAGATAGACCAATCTTGGTCCGCTAGCCTATTATCTTTTAAGACTGTCGTATTGCTCGTTTATTACATTTACTTATACGGATCTTCGTACCATGTTTATATGACTAAGTCGCATCACGGCTCCTGTCGACTTTTTATAACCGGCCTTATTTAATAACGTATTAATATAGGACAAAAACGTCTGTACTCGAATTTATTTACAATACGCGATATATGTAGTCAGCACTCGACTGCAACCTTCGACGAAATGTCATCAGAGCATGGCCCGATTTGTTATCCGACTTGACACCTAACATACCTTACTTGTCAGGCCGACTTTCGTACGTAAATTGCAAAACGGAGCCGCTTTGTGGGAAGACAAAAGGTCAGATACCTACCGCTACGGGGTACAAGTTAAGGTCGTATTCGGACAACCATATGAAGCCGCAGGCATGAGCTAAGTCGGATGTGGTTTGGGCTCACAAATTCAGGCTAAACCTATTGTTGCGTGATCTTTTTTTTTTGGCAGACAGCTTCGGGACGTAGAGGACTCGTAACAACGTAGCTGGTGCAAAGTAACGAAACGGAGACGCCGTCCGCTCCGCTGCACTCCGCGACACCCTGCTAACGAAAGATGGGCAATTGACTAACAGTGTCGTGTCCCCACGACACGATCCAAGGGCCCCTCAGATGGAGGTTCCAACATCGGCTTGGATCGCAATCGATATGGGGACCTACTCGTACCCATATATTGCGTGATCTGCAGAGAATACGGCGAGCGAGCAGCCTCACTGGACGGGATTGGCAGCGTTGCGGGTAAGCGCGCGCCGGCGGCGTGTGGGCGCAACTGAGGCGGTCGTATCGGGTTGCCGCAGCGGATATAATGGAACACTTTCACGAAGCCGTGCGACCGCCTCGGCCGGCTGCAGGGCTGGCTGACACCGCGCTACGGCATGATTACTGCGGCCTCACAATTAAAAGGGGGACGGAACTCTAGCCTTAACATTCTGATAGGCTGTTGCTGAGCTAGTTTTTGGAATTAGCTTAACCTTTCTTTCAATCCAGGCCATGTTCCAAACCCGTGGGTTCTGGCTAGCCCACCGGTTCTGTGTCAGATGAAGCTTTAATAGTCTCGGGACTGAAAGCAAAAGCATCAGTTAATACAAGATACAAGAGGTTATGTTCATATCGATTTCTAGGAAGAAAATCGAGTTACTCTGACTAGGTAATTACATTCGTAACCTGACAATCTTACACAGTACGAGTACCTATATCTAGTGAGTGAGTTACCCAAGGCCTCGTCCTTCAAAATTTGACTCATGACGGTAAACATTTAACCGCTCGCTTACCACCTACTCACATAAAAGAAACAAATTGAAGTGTCGAAATTCCTTTACTGCCACTGGATTTAATACAAATAACAATTTATTTCTGTCAGTGGACGAAAATTACGACTAGAGACTTTTGAGTATAGATCTATAAGACCAGATGGAGCGAACTTCATCATCGCTGTTCAATATCATCACTTAACAATTCTTAAATATTTTCTCATTCCATATGCTTGCTCCACAACATCGGTTAAGGATTCTTACATATCTCATTTCATAAACTTCGTTGAACCTCGTGGGGCTACTTTCTCCTCCCTCGACGAGCCTATTAGGGGCGACAGGCGTGATCCGGCGAGGGAACTGATCGGGGCCGTTGGCAGCCCTGGCCGGACGAGAACAGCTGCGCATACCGCCGGGGGCCCACGTAGCGCCGAACGCCGGGGAAATTCCATATAACGAACGCGCCGCCTTTGCGAAACGACTCATCGAAAGGGCAAACGGCGGAAACGTCACAGCACTCGCTAAGGCAACCCTGTTATCGCTAATTGAGGTGAACTCGGTCACGATACGCTATCGTACGAATTGATATCCGGGTAGTGGAGTGGAATGAGCTCACAGCCAGGAATTTGCACTTCATTTAATCACTAGATTTATTTTATTCATTTATTAATGTTTACCAACATTGGATAAAAAAAATCGTAAATGTCCAAACAATTACAGGTGAACACAACTCTCCTAACATAAACTTATAGCCTAATTAAAATAATTTAATATCTATAAACAAATGTGAGAAAAATATAAGAAAACTAAAACTTTAATAACAGTTACATATTAATAACTTGTTTATAAACAATTAAGTATTATATATCTTATACATATCATTAATCCAATAAATAATTTAAGATTCAAGGTCAAATAATACTAATGACAATAAATAATAAATCCTCAACGCGATTTTATCGAGTCTAATTGCTACACAAACTGTAAGTCATGTGGTATTGGTATGTCTTGATATTGAAATCTTTCTTAAGATAGATACTAAAGTCCAAGTCATTCGTACATTTCCAAACAGGTGAAGAAGAAAAAATATTCATCCATGCATTATTCACGTAATCAGATCCAGTATTAAGAGTTTTAGAACAAAAACATGTGACGTTTAATCAATGGTTAAAAGAGCAAATAAGTTGTTTCACTCAATACGCGACGACCTAATTGAAAGTAATCATTATGATAGGTATGTGAAACTGAAATTCGCTTGAACGCATTCTAGTTCTGAGCGGCTTCAGATTTATAACAAATAATGAATGAACGCTTTATTCGTTATCCAACAGCGGACGTGACGGCAGTTAATATAAGTCATTATAAGTGAAGCTCATAAGCGAATTTTATTGCACATAATTATGAATAATTTAAATTGGATTGGATTGCACGTATGAATAAAATTGACCGGCGTACAGATATCGCCTGTGAAGTTTAAAGAGAGATTTGAAATAAAGTAATCAACTGCGAGCACTAGCTGAATGTGCCATTGCTGCAATATAATACTGAAAGATTCAATTCTAAAATGGCTTGTGCCAATTGATTCCAAAGAATTTTGAGCAAATAGCCGAAAATTGCTTCCGAGGAACTGCTACTGGTTAGACTCTGCGAAAGCGTATTTTGTTCTATTTCAAAAGTTCAATCATAAATAAACCGTCTTCCGTCACTGTTCTAGCTATTGCTACTTAAAAAACTTCAACATTTTCAAGTGTTAGCAGTGAGGTTATCACTCACCAGAGTGACCAGACGAAACGCAGAAGTTTAACAGTTCCACTTCACGCCGGTCTTCTGTGAGGTCGTGGTACCCAGTGACTATTTTTATTTTGGTATCGGGGGGAAATCTTCGAAAGATAACCCTGTCAACTTACATGACAGGGTTATGTGGGGTTTTTACCCACTAAAACCCCCTCGGTAGCCACCTTACGGACATTTGGAGGGACTCCGGGAGATCCCGATCTCCCATGAAACGCACCGGTGTCCTTCGGTACTACGCCTGAGCACTCCTCGGAGAAGAAACCTTCTCCGATTCCCTCACCCTCTTGCAGCAGCACGAGACCACTTCGTACTGCTGCCCATCCGTGTTCCCCCTTAGTCGTCTTTTACGACAGGCAGGGGATACCGTAGCCCTATTCTATGAGCCCGGGACTACAGGGCTGAGTACCCTAGAGACCTGCCCATTCGTGCAACAACTAAAACTGTTGCGTGGCCCTCACAGTTAAATAAAAAGTTGTATGAAAAAAATTACAAGAGAAGTTTTGAATCTCAAATAAATTAATAAAAATAAAATGCTTAATTAAATTCAGTATAATAAAATAATGATAGATCGACTAATTAATTTCTGTTGTTCACGGCTACACAACACCAAACCCGGGGTGCACCGTTTAATTGATAGGATTTGCGCAAGATTTATGTGCGATTGCAAACAACTTTCATGTTTTATCGGATAGCGGTTAATAACGACGAAATAAATTTACGAACGCGATATAGCAACAAGAATTTAAATGGTACCATTACTATATTATGTTGTCTATAAAACATACGTAAAGAAGAAAAATGATTATGAGATTTCATTATTTTTCAAAAAAATACTGATGACGCGGACTTGGCCATCGGCAAAGCTGTTTATATATAATTATGTATATTTTAGTAATTGAAATAATTATGAGATTACAATAATACATTCTGATTAATTTTACTGGTCCGAAACAGTATAACTATGTTAAATATTAGAATATTCATTATATAAATAAATGTTACTAATTAAAAATAATCTAATAAATAACTCTACAAAATAATTGTAATTCTACAGAGCCTCGGGTTTGAGCTTTGCATTGCACATAATTGCAATAAAGGCGGTTTTAGTTAGAATTTAGTATCGTCCGTAATAAGTTACCGGTGCTCAGTAGTTATATGTTTCGACCAAGCCTTCGTAGCGATTATAACGGAAGAGCGGTAATTTAAAGAACCAAAGAAAGTGGAAGCTGTCACACAGATCCATCGAGATATCGACGCCCGGTAGTCTGCCAGTGACTGTGAGGTGACACTTCACCCCTCCCCCAACAACGCCTTCGGGGTTGCGATTAAATCGGTTTGTGGTTCGAAAAAGCGTTATCACACCCAGATAAAACGCGAAGTGACATCGGTTATTAATGCACGGCGAATAATAACATGCAAATCGAGTATATTCACAATGCAAATACCACACGAGTGTTGCATTCATAAATTGTATCGTAAATTTCGCTGCAAGGCAAGTAACATTTTGAAGTCTTGCATGTATATTGTGCCTGTGTTGATTATTCTGTTATGGATTGTGACTGTCTGTACACAGTGTTTGCCTCCTAATATACGAAAATACCTAACGGCCCCACTATTGTCGTAAATACAACAATAGTTAGTAGTTAACTTTGAAACAGAAGGAGAGAAGATATTTAATGCACAAATACATGATGATTGAACAGTTTCAACGTCTTAAGTGTGTACATTTAAACTGCGAAGATAAATAAAAAACAAAAGTAAAAGGTTTTACTGTGGCAGGGCCACGCGACAGTGTACGCTGTTGCTGGCAGGTCCGTCCGGGGAAGTACCACGATCTCACGGAAGACCGGTGCGAAGTGGAAGTGTATACTTCTGCGTTTCGTAGCCGGGGCCCACTTTATTAGGCGGCGGCGGCTATTGGGCGGCGGTTATCACTTACCAATACGTGCTCGCTTGCCAGGTTCTCACATAAAAAATAATAATTATGATACACCACACCAGTGTAGGCAGGTTAGGAGCCAGTGTCATCTCAACTTATCTTTGGAAGAATTGTTCAACAGAATAAAATAATATTTCTAATAAATTGTTTTAATCACTTCATGTAAAGTTATCATGTTCGTGTCGTTGTGAACTAAGTGGAAGTTATGTTTCAATGACGCAAAGGCGTGCGTAGGTCTATCAATAACTATAAATATTTTTGTTTTGTAATATGTTCTCGATGCCGGTGGCAGTGACGGATATTTAACAAAACATATGAGATATACATCAAACTTGTTGTTCAAAGTCTTTTACCGTTTTTCTTTGAAAAAGTTACAACGTACTTGAACAAAGACTAAAGATAGGACAACGTTCAAAACTCTCACAGCACTTAGAAAATATTAACTACTAAAAGTATGTTGATTAATTTAAAAATGATTAACTTTAATTTTTTATCACGTTAATTTGAAAGTAAACAAGCCACCGCTAATTTGTAGTAGTAATAGTTAAAGTTATTTCTTCTTTGTTGTTATTTTACTGTGGGGTTGCTATCCGTTACCAACCAATAAACTTTGTGCACCTGTTACCTCATTCGCTATACGAGATGCAAAGTATTACACTTCTACTTCTATTCTACTTCTCGCTGCTCTTATGCGAAGACGTAGTACTTTCCCCGACGAGCCCGCCCATTCGTGCAACACTGGAAACTATTACGTGCCTTTACCGCAATAAATTTAACGAACACTTCGATTAATTAAATAAGTATCATTTATCAGATGTCAACCGCTTTCGAGGCTCTACGTTCCTTTCCATTCCGAAACGAAAGCCCTTGTACCAGAAGCAGGCCTTGTAAAGAAAAAAAGCAGTGCGAAAATATCGTCGTAAACGCGGGGCCGATCCGGAATCGAAAGGCCGCCGGTTTTTTCCCCGAAACGCCAGACCGCCTCATTAGCTGCATATCGCAAGGTACAGTTAAATAATTAATTGGCTCAAGAGAAACACACTCGTTTTTACACTCCGTATAAACCAGCGAACCGTAATGGTTGTATGAATCAAATCAGCGCGAAATAACAATGTGTAGAATTTACTATACGGTGTAGACTTTGATAAGCATTTTGCGTGCAGTCAGTTTATTGTGCAACACACAAACTCTGTAGGTGTCTGGTAATGGTTAGAGATCACTACTTACTGGAGAGCCAACATTATTTACATAACATACTAACGTTCCCAGATACCTACATTCACCAACACAAAGTAACATATTTCAGCAGATTAGACGACTTTCTACACCACGTAAAAGTAAACTTCCCACTGCTGGGCAAAGGCCTCCTCTGTACAGAGGGTATCAGGGCGTAGTCCACCACGCTACCCCACTGCGGATTTGCAGACTTCACATATCTTGGAGATATATTTTTTGTTATTATTTCGAAAACATGTAGGTTTCCTCACGATGTTTTCCTTCACCGCTGATCACGTGATAAGTCAGCACGTAGAATTAACAATTTCATTGGTGCCGGCATCGGGGATCGAACTCAGGTTTTATATGGAATTAAAAGCGGGCAACTATGCACGGCTCGCCAATTGCAAAGCTTGACACAAATAAGATGATAACCTCCTCTTTCCTCGAAGTTGTTTATGCAGACACGTGTCACACTTGAATTAAATGTAGGCGGAACAACAATCTATATTGATGACGTGCACTTATAAACTTAAAG